TTGAGAGGCAAAGGGGGAAGGGGCAGAGAGAGAAGGAGACGGAATCCAAAGCAGGCTCCAGGCTCTGAGCTGTCAGCACAGAGCCCGACGCAGGGCTTGAACCCACAAACCGCAAGATCCTGACCTGAACCGAAGTCGGATGCTCAACCAACTGAGCCACCCAGGTGCCCCTGTGTGTGTTTAATTCATTACCTAATCATGTCTTTTGCCCATTTTTTCCTTGGGTATTTATTTTCATTTTATAAATTTATGAAAACTCACAATTTGGCATGACTACTAACTCTTTTCCTTGTTGTGTATGCTATAAACTTTCCCCCAGTTTATAGTTTTCTGTGGAACTTTTAAATGGATATGTTTTCAAATCACGTATCTTTTCCTTTATTTTGCCTGTATTTGATATCTTTCTTAGAAATAACTTCCCCAGTCTAAGATTATGTACACATTAAATTATCATTTTTTTCAGGTACATCTTTTATTTTAAATCTGATATTCAAATCTATCATTCATCTGGATTTATTTGGGGATTAACTAATTTTATTTTCATTTCAAATGATTAGTTGTTTCAGCAATATTTTTGAATAATCTGTTCTTTCCCCACGACATGAAATGCCACGATTGTATAAAGTTTTATTCTATCTACATTTTCTATTTTGTTCTCTTGATTAATCTGTTAGAATCAGTGTCAGTACCATCTTGATTATGTGACATTAAACTATACTTTATAAATTATACTCTATAGCTCTGTCACCTTGAATAGGTTACTGGACATTTCTGACCCTCAATTTCTTTATGTGTAAAGTTATTTCTGTTCCACTTGTGATTATGGTATTTCATTGCTAATACTGTTTACTTGCGTTAAAAATTGTTTTTTCTTGAACTTCACTTACCTATATTATTGGTACTTTCCACGAAGCCATGCCAAAGTTCTGATAATCTTCTCTATTTCATTCATTTCTGCTTTTATTTTTATAATACCCTTTTTTTTTAACCACGTTGGGAGGTTTATTCTTTTTTCCTTATTTTTTTGCATTGCAAGTTAGCTCATTAATTTTGGAATCTTTGTTTTTTAACCACCTGTCAGTTCTAAGATAGACATTTTTCAGTGTGTGAACATCTCTGAGGTTGGATTGGTCTTACCAGAGCTGTGGGCCCAGCAGCAGGTGTGAAGTAGTTTTTATAAGCTTTGCTGAATGAGCCTTGAATAATATAGAGGGTGTGTCTCTGTCTTGGAAGAAAATTCCAGAGGCAATTGAGGAGCACTTATTTAAGAAGTGCTGCATCACCCATGTTCTTGTTGCACTGAGGTCAATTTGGGTAGAAAACGTGGACATCAGTGATTGAGTTGAAAAGTGATTCAGTAATCAGGCTTTTGAATGTAAGATTTAAGAAGGCCTTAACCAGGGGCCCCTCGGTTGACTGTCTGACCCTTGGTTTTGGCTCAGGTCGTGATCTCACGGTTTGTGGGATTGAGCCCTGCGTTGGGCTCTGCACTGACAGTGTGGAGCCTGCTTGGGATTCTCTCTCTTCCTCTCTCTCTCTGCCCCTCCCCTGCGTGCGCGCGCGTGCTCTCTCTCTCTCTCTCTCAAAATAAATAAACTTTAAGAAAAAAAAAAGAAGGCCAGGCACCTGGGTGGCTCAGTCGTTTAAGTGTCCAACTCTTTTTCGGCTCAGGTCATGATCTCGTGGTTTGTGAGTTCGAGCCCCACGTCGGGCTCTGTGCTGACAGCTTGCATCTGATTCTCTGTCTCCCTCTCTCTTGGCCGCTCCCCTGCTCACGCTCTGTCTCTCTCGCAAAAACATATTAACATTAAAAAAAAAAAAGAAGGTCTTAACCAATTTATTTTGCTTATATTTTCCTTCTTTAAATATGCACATGGATGATATGTATTTAAAATATACATCTAAGTAAGTCTGAAAGAATGCTTCAATAAATATATAATAAACATTCTAAGTGGTAGAGCATTCTCTCCTACTTTAATTGGCAACCTTTGTTCTTTGTGGTACATAAAATAATAATGTTATTACAGTTGCTGGTGTCTCATATTTGGTGGAATACAGTAGGTGCATTTCGGGCTCTAGTTTCTACTTACCGCTTTATTTGAGTCCCACAAGTTTGATTTATAGTACGTATGTCATTGGCCATTAAGCACCTCGTGATTCCCCTCACGATTTCTTCTTTTATGTGAAATATTTAGAAGTGTGGTTTGAGTTTCCAAGCTCATGGATGTTTTTGGCTGTCTTTTTATTATCGATCCCTAAAATTGTATTGCATTGTGGTCAGAGAGTGTGGTCGATGTTACATTGGTTGACGCTACTTTTGTGGTTTGTAGGTGGGTGGTTACGCCTTTGGCTACCGGGACCCTGTGCTCTCCTCTTCACAACTCTCCTCCCCTGGGCTCCAGTCCATCCCTGCTATTCACACCTCAGGCAACCAGTTGACCCTTTCTGTACCTAGGGCTGTTCTAGGTGCTGTGGCATATTCCAGAATGGCTCCTCCCACACTTGGCCGGCTCTGAGAATCACCTGAGATGCTTCTTTAACATTCTGACACCCGGGTCTTGCCCTGTAGGTCTGAGTTGGAGCTCCGGGATCTGAGTTTTGGAGAAGTGCCCCAAGATGATTCTCATGGCCGAGCAAATTAAAAATGTGGGTTCCCAGGCCTCACTTAGAGAGATTTGTGATGGGATATGAGAATTTGTATTTTTTAAAAATATTTTATTTATTTTGGGAGGGGGAGGGGTAGAGAGAGGGAGACCCAGAATCCGAAGCAGGCTGCAGGCTCTGAGCTGTCAGCACAGAACCCAACTTGGGGCTCGAAACACGAACCGTGAGATCATGACCTGAGCTGAAGTCGGATGCCTAACCGCCTGAGCCACCCAGGTGCCCCGAGAATCTGTATTTTTAACAGGCCTCCCAGGTCATTCTGACACAGGCAGTCTTTATGCCATACCCTGAACAACCTGAGAATGGGGATACTGGGAGGGGAGGGGAATGTACTCAAGAGTCACAGAAGTCTGACTCTTATTTTAATTTTTTAAAAGTTTATTTATTTATTTTGAGAGAGAGGAAGAAAGAGAATCCCAAGCAAGCTCCACACTGACAGCACAGAGCGTGATGCAGGGCTCAACGAACCGTGAGGTCATGACCTGAGCCAAAATCAAGAGTCGGATGCTTAACCGACTAAACCACCCAGGCGCCCCTTTTTGTAATTTTCTAATCACCGGAGGTAACGTTGTGTCTATTGGGCTAAAGTTATGCATAAAGAAATGCAATATCCATTCATCTGACTTTTTTTTTTTTTATGTTTTTATTTATTTTTGAGAGAGAGACAGAGCATGAGCAGGGGAGGGGCAGAGAGAGAGGAAGACACAGAATCTGAAGCAGGCTCCAGGCTCTGAGCTGTCAGCACAGAGCCCAACCTCACGAACCCGTGAGATCATGACCTGAGCCGAAGTCGGACGCTTAACCGACTGAGCCACCCAGGTGCCCCTCTTGGAAGTTTCTGATGACAGTTCTTTGGATTATTCATCAGTCTTTCTATGAATCAATCCTTTGGAAAATTGTATTGAGATGCTCAATATAACTTGATTCAGAGGTTATCTCTACCACTTAATTCAAAATAGACAAACTCTGGAGGGACAAGTAGTGTAGCATTGTGGTTAGGATTTTTGACTTTGGTATCACAAGAACCGTGATCAAATCTAGATCTAGATGTTTGCTTTCTGTGTGATCTTAGGCAAGTTGCTTAACCATCTGTGCTTTGGTCTCCTCATCAGTAAAACGGAAGGATAAGCAATGCTTATGTCTGTGGGGTATTATGGGAATTAAATGGGATAATGTGTGTAAGATGTTAACACCATCCCCAATACACAATAAATGCTCAATAAACATTATTTTTAAAAAATGTTTATTTATTTTTGAGAGAGAGAGAGAGAAAGAGAGAGTGGGAGAGGGGCAGAGACAGAGGGGGACATAGGATCTGAAGCTGGCTCTGTGCTGACAGCAGAGAGCCCAACGTGGGGTTCAAACTCACCAACCGTGATATCATGACCTGAGCCAAAGTCGGATGCTCAACCAAGCCACCCAGGTGCCCCTAAACGTTAGTTTTTTTGTTTTCTTTTTTTAAATAATTTTTGTAATCCAGGGGACACGATGGAGGGGTAGATATTTCGTTTCATTAACGAACTCCAATGGTGATGTGTTGCAGGTGATTTTCTGGAATCTAAGGGATGCTTTGCTGGCACAACATCCTCTGGAAGAAAGGTCAGCCCCTCATCTTCTGCTGAAACATGTCCTAGTGTGAGTGAGCCTGCAGTCCCCGGCAAAGTGTCCGTTCACCTAGAGTAAGTAAGAGGCCAGTACAGTCCATACTGTTGGCGTAAATTCTGACTGGGAAGCCAACAGTCTAAGAGGTAGAATGACATGTTTGGCAAGAGCATAGATTCTGGAGCCAGACTGTCTAGGTTTAAACCCCAGGTCTGCCAACTTCATCTGTGTGAACTTGGGAAAATCACTTTACCTCCCTGGGACTCAGTTTTTTATCTACAAAATGGAGATAATACTTCAGAGGATGGTTTTGAGGATTAAAGGAGGTAATGCATGGAAAGTGATCGCAAGACTCTCTGGCACACAATAAATGTTATGTGCATGGTTGTCATTATCAAATGTAAAAGCAAGCAAAACTAAGCTGTTTTTGTTTTTAATGTTTTAAAATTTCATTTTAGAGAGCGAGTGGGGAGAGGGGCAGAGGGAGAGAGAGAATCCTAAGCAGGCTTCGTGCCTAGTACAAAGCCCGACGCAGGGCTCGATCCCACAACCTGGGATCGTGACCTGAGCCGAAATCAAGAGTCAGCCACTCAGTGGACTGAGCCACTCAGGTGCCCCCTATTTCCTTTTCAAATGGAAATGATTATATGGGTCCTGCTTACATCGCAGGATTATTAGAAGGGAGCAAAGAAGACCAGCGTCATGACGTTGCTTTGAAGCCCTTCAACCGGGAGAGCGATGTAATGTCGTGAAAAAACATCCCATGATTTGATAACTGATAACTATACCTGAAGACCAAAGCCATCTGTCAACTGTAAAGCTACTTAAACAAGAAGTGATTGCTTTTACCGCTGAAAATAGTTTGTTGTAGGTTTTGGTTTTGGTTTTTTGTTTTTAATGGCCAGGAACTTCGCGAAACACGATGCTCTGTTATTACAACCATTTCAGCTTAGGTTTGTTTTTTGGTTACTTCTTCCCCTTCCCTTTATCTTTGTTGATTTTTAATTTCCATTTAATGGTTTTATTGAACGTGCGTATCTTTTGGTAGCAGTTTTTGTGGAAACGTAATTCACATACTGTGTAATTCATCCTTTCAAAGTGTGCAGTTCAGTGGTTTTTCGTGTAGTCAACAGAGCTGTGCAACCATTACCACAATCGATTTTAGAACATTTTCATCACCTCAAAAAGAAGCCCATCCTCTTGAGCAGTCACCCCCACCGTGGCCCCTACTCT